TGTGCCGCCATGTGCCGCCATGTGCAGCCATGTGCCGCCATGTGCCGCCATGTGCCGCCATGTGCCGCCATGTGCAGCCATGTGCAGCCATGTGCTGCCATGTGCAGTCCATGTGGCAGCCGTGTGCAGCCATGTGCAGCCATGTGCCGCCATGTGCCGCCATGTGCAGCCATGTGCAGCCGTGTGCAGCCATGTGCAGCCATGTGCCGCCATGTGCCGCCATGTGCAGCCATGTGCAGCCGTGTGCAGGGCCATGTGCAGCCCATGTGCAGCCATGTGCCGCCATGTGCCGCCATGTGCCGCCATGTGCAGCCATGTGCAGCCATGTGCTGCCATGTGCCGCCATGTGCCGCCATGTGCCGCCATGTGCCGCCATGTGCAGCCATGTGCAGCCATGTGCCGCCATGTGCCGCCATGTGCCGCCATGTGCAGCCATGTGCCGCCATGTGCAGCCATGTGCCGCCATGTGCCGCCATGTGCCGCCATGTGCCGCCATGTGCAGCCATGTGCAGCCATGTGCCGCCATGTGCCGCCATGTGCAGCCATGTGCTGCCATGTGCAGCCATGTGCAGCCATGTGCCGCCATGTGCCGCCATGTGCCGCATGTGCAGCCATGTGCAGCCATGTGCAGCCATGTGCCGCCATGTGCAGCCATGTGCAGCCATGTGCCGCCATGTGCCGCCATGTGCAGCCATGTGCCGCCATGTGCCGCCATGTGCCGCCATGTGCAGCCATGTGCAGCCATGTGCAGCCATGTGCTGCCATGTGCAGCCATGTGCAGCCGTGTGCAGCCATGTGCAGCCATGTGCCGCCATGTGCCGCCATGTGCAGCCATGTGCAGCCGTGTGCAGCCATGTGCAGCCATGTGCCGCCATGTGCCGCCATGTGCAGCCATGTGCAGCCGTGTGCAGCCATGTGCAGCCATGTGCAGCCATGTGCCGCCATGTGCCGCCATGTGCCGCCATGTGCAGCCATGTGCAGCCATGTGCTGCCATGTGCCGCCATGTGCCGCCATGTGCAGCCATGTGCTGCCATGTGCAGCCATGTGCAGCCATGTGCAGCCATGTGCCGCCACGTGCCGCCATGTGCCGCCATGTGCCGCCATGTGCAGCCATGTGCAGCCATGTGCCGCCATGTGCCGCCATGTGCTGCCGTGTGCAGCCATGTGCCGCCATGTGCAGCCATGTGCCGCCATGTGCAGCCATGTGCCGCCATGTGCAGCCATGTGCCGCCATGTGCCGCCATGTGCAGCCATGTGCCGCCATGTGCAGCCATGTGCAGCCATGTGCCATGCAGTGTCACACGCCGTGTCCCACGCGCCGCGTTATTTGCCCCGTGCCTCCCCCTTCCCCCCCCGCCTTCCCCGCACAGCCGCCGCTCGGTGCCCACCTGCGGTCCCACGCGATGAGACGCTCCGGCGGCTTCGGCCGAGCCGAACGCGAGCTGGCAGCAGGCGCAAAGCTCGGTGTTGTGCCGGCGGCGATGCGGTTCGTCCGTTTGCTGCCGCAGGGCCCGGCCGGCTCGGAGCGCTCCGTGCTCGGCGCAAATGGTTTCGTCCCCACGGCGACGCCCGGCGCCGCTCAGCACCTCGATGGTGGCGCAGCAGCCCCGCACGGCGCTCCACGCCGCCCCTCGGCTCCGCGGCCCCGCACCGCGCTCCGCCAGCTCCGTTCCGTGCCGGCCGCTCCGTCCGGCGGCGGCTCTCGCGGCGCTCTCGGCGTCGCTGTCGCGGTCGCTGTCGCTGTCGGTACCGGCCGGGCTCGGGACTCGCGCCGGGCGGTGGCTCAGGAATTCCTCCAGCTTCCGCGCCGCAAAACCGGCGGCGATGAAGGAGCGATCGATGGCGGCGTCCGGCGCGGCGACGCCGATGTGACACGAGGCCAACGCGGAGCTCAGCGCCTCGGCCGCGTCCGGGGGCTCGGAACCGGCCGGAGGCGGCGGCGCTCGGCGGCTCTCGATGGCCGAACCGCGGGGCTGAGGCGCGGGGCCGCGGCTCCGGGGATCCCGGGGGTGCGAAGGGTTCGGCCGCGCCGTGCGAGCCGGAGCGGCGTCGGTGGCGCCGCAGCTGCAGCAGCAACCGGCGGGAGGCGGCGGCGGTGGGATTCCTGAGGGGGGCGACCGGGGGGGGGGGGTCTGAACGCCGGGACGCCCCGCCGGGGTGGCCGGGTTGGGGATGCCCCGAGGGGACGCCCGGCTGGAGTCGCTGCGGTGGGGACGCGCCGTTGGGGGCACTGGGGACACCGATAGGAACGCGGTGCCCAAAGCCCCCCTGCGGTGCGAGACTCGGGGTCCGCATCCCAGCACCCCCACCCCAATGTTCTCATCCCAGTCTCCTCACCCCAATGTCCCCACCGCCATTGCCCACAATCCCAGCGCCTCCATCCCAACGCCCCCACCCCAATGTCCCCAAACCCTCAGTGCTCCCCTCCCAGTGTCCCCATTGCCATCGGCCCCCATCCCATCCTCCTCACACCCATCACCCCCACCCCATTACCCCCTCCCAGTGCCCCCCACCCCCATCACCCCCAACTCCTCTGCCCCCCACCCCGGTGCCCTCATCCCCATTCCTCCCAAGCCATTCCCCCCCCCCCCCATCGCCCCCATTCCTACGCCCTCACCTCCTTTACCCCCGCCCCATTGCTCCCCACCACCCCCCGCCCCACAGCCCCCCACCCCAAGGCCCCCTCTCACCCCCCCATGCCCACCCCCATCTCGGTGTCCATAGGGCTGCCTTCCAGGCCACAGCGCCATGATGCCGCGACGCCCGGAACGTCCCCACACTGTGACACCCCGCTCGGAACCCCCACCCCATAACAGCGGGCCGGGGGGGGCGATGGCGGCTTCGGGTGGAGGGAGACCCCCGGGGGGGCACGCGGCCGCCGTGCTGCGATGTTACGACCTCCTGCGGGAGGAGATCCAGGCTCTGCTGGCCGAAAACGAGGAGCTGGCCCGCATCGTGGCCGCCGTCCGGCACCACAGCCGCTGCCCCCTCCTCACCTCCACCCCCCAGGAGCCCCCCGGCTCGTGGCCGTTCGGCAGCGCGGCGTGGAGCTCCGACGCTCAGCCCGGTGCCGACGGGACGTCGACGTGGCGCAGCGCTTCTGGCGGCGGCTCGTGGGCCGTGTTGAGGCCGCACAGCAGCTCTGACATCGTGTCCGGGAGGGTGCCGGCACGCAGCGCCAATGAGAGTAGGGGGGGACCTGGGACCCCTTTCCGGCTCATCCTCATCCCACCCCATCCCAATCCTTACCCCCATCCCATCCTATCCCATCCTCATCCCACCCCATCCCAATCCTTACCCCCATCCCACCCCATCCCATCCCATCCCATCCCACCCCATCCCATCCCATCCCACCCCATCCCATCCCATCCCACCCCATCCCACCCCATCCCATCCCATCCCACCCCATCCCATCCCATCCCATCCCACCCCATCCCATCCCACCCCATCCCGCCCCATCCCATCCCACCCCACCCCATCCCACCCCATCCCATCCCATCCCACCCCATCCCACCCCACCCCATCCCATCCCACCCCACCCCATTCCATCCCATCCCATCCCATCCCCAATCCCATTTTAACCCAGCCCCTACACCCCCCAACCCCATCCCCAGTTCCCCGAATCCCAATCCCAATCCCAGCCCATTCGAATCCATCCCTACCCCCCCATCCCCATCCTATTCCCACCCCATCACGATCCATTCCCAACCCACCTGATCCATTCCCCCCCCTCCCCCGGTCTCCCCCCCTCACTCCCCGTTCTCCTCCAGGCGCCCCCGCCGCGCTCCCCGCGCCGCCCCCTGCGTTCCCCCCCCACGCACGAACTTCGTGCCCCCCCGAGTGGCTGCGCGGCGCCGCTTCCCCCCCGGCCTCCCCCGATTCCCGCACTGCCGATCCCGCCCCGCCGGCGGAGCAGCAGCAGCCGCTGGACCTGCGGCTGTCGGAGGTGCGGCGCCGGGAGCCCAGCAGGGAAGCGGACCTCGATGCCGACCGGGAGCCGAGCGGAGAGCCGGAGCGCGACCCGAGCCCGGATCCGAGCCGGGACCCGAACCGCGATGCGGACCAGGACTCCTCGGAGGCGGCGTCGGGGCCCGGGCAGCGCGGTACGGGGGTGCGGGGCGGCCCTGCGGGTTCGGGTCCCGGTGTCCCCGGGGGTTTGGGTCCCGGTGTCCCTGAGGGTTCACATCCCAGTGTCCCCACAGGGTCTTGTCCTGCTTATAGGTTTGGGTCCCGGTGTCCCCCCAGATTCGGGTCTTGTCCTGCTGGTAGATTGGGGCCCCAGTGTCCCTGTCGGTTCGGGTCATTTCGGGTCCCGGTGTCCCCATAGGTTTTGGTCCCGGTGTCCCCTTGGGTTCACATCCCGGTGTCCCCACAGGTTCGGGTCTTGTCCTGCTTATAGGTTTGGGTCCCGGTGTCCCCACAGATTCGGGTCTTGGCCTGTTTGTGGGTTCGGGTCCCGGTGTCACCATGGTTTCGGGTCCCGGTGTCCCCATAGGTTGGGGTCTTGGCCTGTTTGTGGGTTCTGGTCCCGGTGTCCCCACAGGTTCAGGTCCTGGTGACCCCATAGGTTTCGGTCCCTGTGTCCCTGAGGGTTCGGGTCCTGGTGTCCCCACAGGTTCGGGTCTTGGCCTGCTTATGGGTTCGGGTCCCTGAGTCCCCATGGGTTCGGGTCCCAGTGTCCCCATAGGTTTCAGACCCTGTGTCCCTGAGGATTTGGGTCCTGTTGTCCCCATAGGTTGGGGTCTTGGCCTGCTTACAGGTTCAGGTCCCGGTGTCACCATGGGTTCGTGTCCCAGTGTCCCCACAGGTTGGGGTCTTGGCCTGCTTGTAGGTTCAAGTCCCTGTGTCCCGATGGTTTCAGATCCCCGTGTCCCCATGGTTTTGGGGTCCCGGTGTCCCCATAGCTTTCTGAGCAGTCCCAATGTCCCTGTGGGCTCAGATCCCAGTGTCCCCCTGTTTTTGGGGCAGTCCCGGTGTCCCCCTGTTTTTGGGGCAGTCCCGGTGTCCCCGTGGCTTCTGGTCCCAGAGGTTTTGGGGTGGTCCCACCACCTCTGTCACTTCTTGGTCCTGATGTCCCTGTGGGGTTTGGGGTCCAGGCGTCCCTGTGGGTTTCAGTCCCGCTGTTCCCACGGGTTCAGGGTCCCTGTGGGTTCGGATGGTCCCTGTACCCCCCTGTCCCCATGTCACACCCCCACCCCGTCCCTGTCCCCATGTCACAGCCCTCGTGATCCCCAGCCATGGAACTCAGTGACGCGTGGGGACAGAATGGGGTCGGAGTGGTGGGGACAGAGGGAGGGGGTCGCAGTGACAGAAGGACGAAGGGTGGCATTGGGGGGACGGAGGGACGAGGAATGGGGTCACGGTGACAGAGGGACGGGGTTGGGGTGGCAGGGGGATGAGGGACGGGGTCACATCAGGGCGAAAGGCAGACGGGATCGGGGTGACGGAGGGACAGGGGGTGGGTTTGGGGTGGGGACAGAGGGATGGGGTGACGGGGACAGAGGGATGAAGTTGGGGTGATGGGGACAGAGGGATGAAGTTGGGGTGATGGGGACAGAGGGATGGGATCAGGGTGGGGACAGGGATGAAGTTGGGGTGATGGGGACAGAGGGATGGGATCAGGGGGGACAGAGGGATGAAGTTGGGGTGATGGGGACAGAGGGATGGGATCAGGGTGGGGACAGGGATGAAGTTGGGGTGATGGGGACAGAGGGATGGGATCAGGGGGGACAGAGGGATGAAGTTGGGGTGATGGGGACAGAGGGATGGGATCAGGGTGGGGACAGGGATGAAGTTGGGGTGATGGGGACAGAGGGACGGGATCAGGGTGGGGATGGAGGGATGAAGTTGGGGTGATGGGGACAGAGGGATGGGATCAGGGGGGGGACAGGGATGAAGTTGGGGTGATGGGGACAGAGGGATGGGATCAGGGGGGGACAGAGGGATGAAGTTGGGGTGATGGGGACAGAGGGATGGGATCAGGGGGGGGACAGAGGGATGAAGTTGGGGTGATGGGGACAGAGGGATGGGATTGGGGGGGGACAGGGATGAAGTTGGGGTGATGGGGACAGAGGGACGGGATTGGCGGGGGACAGAGGGATGAAGTTGGGGTGATGGGGACAGAGGGATGGGATCAGGGTGGGGACAGAGGGATGAAGTTGGGGTGATGGGGACAGAGGGATGGGATTGGGGGGGGACAGGGATGAAGTTGGGGTGATGGGGACAGAGGGATGGGATCAGGGTGGGGATGGAGAGATGAAGTTGGGGTGATGGGGACAGAGGGATGGGATCAGGGGGGACAGAGGGATGAAGTTGGGGTGATGGGGACAGAGGGACGGGATTGGGGGGGGACAGGGATGAAGTTGGGGTGATGGGGACAGAGGGATGGGATTGGGGGGGGACAGAGGGATGAAGTTGGGGTGATGGGGACAGAGGGATGGGATCAGGGTGGGGATGGAGGGATGAAGTTGGGGTGATGGGGACAGAGGGACGGGATCGGGGCCACAGCCACAGAGGGGTGGGAGACGAGGTCAGGGTGACAGAGGGACGGGTGGCGGCGTCAGGGGAACAGAAGGATGTGGGGTGGGGACACGGGGACGGAAGGGAGGCGTTGGGGTGACGGCGACAGAGGGAGGAGGGATGGGGTCAGGGGGGCAGAGGGATGGGGGCGGGACGACGGGGACAGAAGGACGGGTCGGGGTCACAGCGACAGAGGGATGGGGTTGGGGTTGGGGAGGGGACAGAGGGACGGCAGCGGGGTGACAGGGGGACAGAGGGCCGAGGTGGGAGCGCGGAGGGTCCGACCCACAGAGCGGCGGCAGTGGGAGCGCCTGGTGGGGGAGGTGGCCTTCCAGCTGGACCGGCGCATCCTCGGCCACGTCTTCCCTGAGAGGACGCGGCTCTACGGCTTCACCGTCAGCAACATCCCACAGAAGATCCTGGGGGTCAGTGGGGGGCAGGGGGTGGGGTATGGGGTGGGATGGGGGTAAGGATTGGGGTGGGATGGGGTGGGATGGGATGGGGTGGGGTGGGGTGGGATGGGATGGGATGGAGATGGGATGGGGTGGGATGGGGTGGGATGGGGTGGGATGGGGTGGGATGGGATGGGATGGGATGGGGTGGGATGGGGTGGGATGGGATGGGATGGAGATGGGATGGGATGGGATGGGATGGGATGGGATGGGATGGGATGGGGTGGGATGGGGTGGGATGGGGTGGGATGGGATGGGGTGGGATGGGATGGGATGGGATGGGATGGGATGGAGATGGGATGGGATGGGATGGGATGGGATGGGGTGGGATGGGGTGGGATGGGGTGGGATGGGATGGGGTGGGATGGGATGGGATGGGGTGGGATGGGATGGGATGGGATGGGATGGGATGGGGTGGGATGGGGTGGGATGGGGTGGGATGGGGTGGGGTGGGGTGGGATGGGGTGGGATGGGATGGGATGGGATGGGATGGGGTGGGATGGGATGGGATGGGGTGGGATGGGGTGGGATGGGGTGGGATGGGATGGGGTGGGATGGGATGGGATGGGGTGGGATGGGATGGGATGGGGTGGGATGGGGTGGGGTGGGGTGGGATGGGGTGGGATGGGATGGGGTGGGGTGGGATGGGATGGGATGGGATGGGGTGGGATGGGGTGGGATGGGGTGGATGGGATGGGATGGGGTGGGATGGGATGGGATGAGATGGGGTGGGATGGGATGGGGTGGGATGGGGTGGGATGGGATGGGGTGGGATGGGATGGGATGGGATGGGGTGGGATGGGATGGGATGGGGTGGGATGGGATGGGATGGGGTGGGATGGGGTGGGATTCATGGAACGAGATTGGGATGGGATGGGAGCGGGGCTGGCATGGGGTGGGATTTGAAGTGTCGTGGGCAGATGCGCCCTTGACAGCCCGAGCCGCGGGTCGATCAGCTGCAGACGCAGAGAAGCTCAGGATTTCAGCAGCGTGCAGGGCTGGGGATGGAGCCGGGCTGCGATTCTCGGACCGGCGCCGGGCTGCGCCTCCACCAACGCGCTCCGTCCCTCCCCCCCCGCCCCGCAGTCGGTGCTCAACCCCTCGTCCAGCTCCTTCGATGAGCGGCGCTGCGCCGCGCTCAGCCACCGCTACGTCACCCTGATGGAGCGCCTGAAGGCGCTGGGATACAACCCTGCCGTGCACCCCGCCTTGGCCGAGTCCTTGGTCAACACCTACGGCATCCTCCGCGAGCTGCCCCAGCCCCCCGGCCCCCCGCCCGGCCCCGCTGTGCTGCGGCACGCCGTGGTGGCCGCGGTGCCCCCCGCGCTCCGGGCCGACGCGTTGGTGCTGCTCGAGTGCCTGCGGGAATTGGCGCGGGAGGACGGCAAGCCTCTCTTCTTGGCCTGAGCCATTAAAAGGCGGCCATGCAGGGCGGCTGCGGGTGCGGAGCCGTCGGGGCTGCGGGTGGGAGGAACTGCGGCGCTGCTGGGGGAGAAGGGATGCGGCGATGCGGGGCGGCCGGGGACGCGGCGACAACAGGGACGCGGGGCTCCAGGGATGCAGCGCGGGCGGGGATGGAGGGCAGGCGGAGATGCAGGGCTGCAGTGCAGCCAGGGACACAACGCTGCCAGGGATGCAGGGCCACCGAGGACGCAGTGCAGCCAGGATTGCAGTGCAGCCAGGGCTGCAGGGCTCCAGGGCTGCAGGGCTCCAGGGATGCAGGGCTCCAGGGCTCCAGGGATGCAGGGATGCAGGGCTCCAGGGATGCAGGGCTCCAGGGATGCAGGAATGCAGGGCTCCAGGGATGCAGGGCTCCAGGGATGCAGGAATGCAGGGCTCCAGGGATGCAGGGCTCCAGGGATGCAGGAATGCAGGGCTCCAGGAATGCAGGGATGCAGGGCTCCAGGGATGCAGGGATGCAGGGCTCCAGGGCTGCAGGGCTCCAGGAATGCAGGGCTCCAGGGATGCAGGGCTCCAGGGATGCAGGGCTCCAGGGATGCAGGGATGCAGGGCTCCAGGGATGCAGGGATGGGGTGGGCGCTCAGGGCTGCGATGCTGCTGCAGCGCAGTGCCGTGGGGTCGGTGCTGGTGGTGGTGCGTGTCGGTGTGGGGCTGTGGGTCACGCGTGGGGTGGGGGGGAGGCAGAGCTGCGTGTGGGTGCACACTGAGGAACCCACATCCAGGGGCTCCATTGTGTTCGGGGCAGATGGCATCTGCAGCAGGGTGAGCGCTGGGGTAGGGAGAGGGATCCACAGGGTGCCATAGGGATCCACGGGGTGCCAGAGGGATCCACGGGGTGCCAGAGGGATCCATGGGGTGCCAGAGGGATCCACAGGGTGCCAGAGGGATCCAGGGGTGCCATAAGGATCCACAGGGGCCAGAGGGATCCACAGGGTGCCATAAGGATCCACAGGGTGCCAGAGGGATCCACGGGGTGCCAGAGGGATCCAGGGGTGCCATAGGGATCCACAGGGTGCCAGAGGGATCCACGGGGTGCCAGAGGGATCCATGGGGTGCCAGAGGGATCCAGGGGTGCCATAGGGATCCACAGGGTGCCAGAGGGATCCATGGGGTGCCATAAGGATCCACAGGGTGCCATAGGGATCCACGGGGTGCCATAAGGATCCACAGGGTGCCAGAGGGATCCACAGGGTGCCAGAGGGATCCATGGGGTGCCAGAGGGATCCACAGGGTGCCATAGGGATCCACAGGGTGCCAGAGGGATCCACGGGGTGCCAGAGGGATCCACAGGGTGCCATAAGGACCCACAGGGTGCTAGAGGGATCCACGGGGTGCCATAAGGATCCACAGGGTGCCAGAGGGATCCAGGGGTGCCATAGGGATCCACAGGGTGCCAGAGGGATCCAGGGGTGCCAGAGGGATCCACAGGGTGCCATAGGGATCCACGGGGTGCCAGAGGGATCCACAGGGTGATGATGTAAGGATCCACAGGGTGCCATAGGGATCCACGGGGTGCCATAAGGATCCACAGGGTGCTAGAGGGATCCAGGGGTGCCATAGGGATCCAGGGGTGCCATAGGGATCCACAGGGTGCCATAAGGATCCACAGGGTGCCAGAGGGATCCAGGGGTGCCATAGGGATCCACGGGGTGCCATAGGGATCCACGGGGTGCCAGAGGGATCCACAGGGTGATGATGTAAGGATCCACAGGGTGCCATAGGGATCCACGGGGTGCCATAGGGATCCACAGGGTGATGATGTAAGGATCCACAGGGTGCCATAGGGATCCACGGGGTGCCATAGGGATCGGCAGGGTGCCATAAGGATCCACAGGGTGCCATAGGGATCCACAGGGTGATGATGTAAGGATCCACAGGGTGCCATAAGGATCCATGGGGTGCCATAGGGATCCACGGGGTGCCATAAGGATCCACAGGGTGCCATAGGGATCCACAGGGTGCCATAGGGATCCGCAGAGTGCCATAAGCATCCACAGGGTGCCATAAGGACCCACAGGGTGCCATAGGGATCTGCAGAGTGCCATAAGGATCCCCAGGGTGATATAAGGATCCACAGAGTGCCATAGGGATCCACAGGGTGATATAAGGATCCACGGGGTGCCATAAGGACCCACAGGGTGCCATAAGGATCCATGGGGTGCCATAGGGATCCATGGGATGCCATAGGGATCCATGGGGTGCTATAGGGATCCACAGGTTGCCATTGGGATCCACGGGGTGCCATTGGGATCCACAGGGTGCCATAAGGATCCACAGGGCGCCATAGGGATCCACGGGGTGCCATAAGGATCCACGGGGTGCCAGAGGGATCCGCAGGGTGCCATAAGGATCCAGAGGGTGATATAAGGATCCACGGGGTGCCATAAGGATCCACAGGGTGCCATAAGGATCCCCAGGGTGATATAAGGATCCATAGGGTGCCATAAGGATCCCCAGGGTGCCATAGGGATCCCCAGGGTGCCATAAGGATCCATAGGGTGCCATAGGGATCTACAAGGATGCACAGGGTGCCATAATGATCCCCAGGGTGCCATAGGGATCTGCAGGGTGCCATAGGGATCCCCAGGGTGCCATAGGGATCCACAGGGTGCCATAAGGATCCCCAGGGTGCCATAGGGATCCCCAGGGTGCCATAAGGATCCCCGGGGTGCCATAGAATCACAGGATCACCAGGTTGGAAACGAGCTGCAGGAGCATCCAGTCCAACCCCCCCATTGCTGTCAGTGCCACCAGCACCAACCCACGTCCTGCAGCTCCTCACCCAGGCGCCTCCTGAACGCCTCCCCCACCTCCCTGTGCAGCCACTGCAGCCTGAGCACTGCGAGCAGCAGCTTCTCCTCATGTCCTCATGTCCAAACCTCCTCTGGCACAACTTGGGGCCGTTTCCTCGGCTCCTGCTGTTTGCCTGGGAGAAGAGGCCAGGCCCTTCTGCACCACAGCCATAGAGAGCAGTGAGCTCTGCCCTCAGCTCCTCTTCTCACCCTGAACATTCCCAGCTCCTTCAGCCTCTCCTCAGCCCTGTGCTCCAGACCCCTCACCATTTCATTGCCCTCCTTTCAACACGTTCCAGGCCCTCCATGTCTTTCCTGCAGTGAGGGGCCCAAAACTGGACCCAGCCCTCGAGGTGCGGCCTCACAGAGCTGAGCACAGGGGATGGATGCTCCCCTCCCTGCTCCTGCTGGCCATTTCTGATGCAGGCCAGGCTGCCCTTGCCCTTCCTGGCCACCTGGGCACACTGCTGGCTCCTGTTCAGCCCAGCATCCATCCATACCCCCAGCTCCATTTCCTCTACGCCGTCCTCCAGCCACACCGCCCCAAGCCTGCAGCGTCGCCTGGGGTTGCTGCAGCCCAAGTGCAGGACCCGGCATTTGGCCTTGTTGCACCTCATCCCATGGGCTTCAGCCCAGCCCTCCAGCCTGTCCAGATCCCTCTGTAGGGCCTCGCTACCCCCAGGCAGATCCACACTTCCAGCCCATTTGGTGCCATCTGCGAATGTACTGAGGGGGCACTTGATGCCCTCATCGAGGTCATCAATAAAGATATTGCAGAGCCCAGGCCCAGCACTGACCCCTGGGGAACACCGCTCACAACCGGTCGCCAGCTGGATTTGACTCCATTCACCACCACTCTCTGAGCCCGGCCCTCCATGCAGCTCCTCACCCAGCCCACACTGCAGCCATCCAAGCTGCCGGCTTCTGCAGGAGATGCTGTGGGAGGCAGCGCCAAAGGCTGTGCTGGAGTCCAGGCAGAGCATCCACAGCCTTTCCCTCATCCACCAGATGGGTCACAGATCATAGAAGGAGGTCAGGCTGCTCAAGCAGGCGCTGCCCTTCACCCACCCGTGCTGCTGGGCCCGATGCCCCGCTCAGCCCGCGCTGCCGCATGATCTCCATCTGCTCCATCGCTTCCCCGGCACCGAGCTCAGGCTCACAGGCCTGCAGTTCCCGGATCCTCCTTATACCATTCCTGTCAATGGAGGCGCGCTGGCAGCCTGCAGCCTTCTGGGACCTCAGCAGAGCACAAGGAGCGCTGATAGATGGTGGGAAGCGGCTCTTCTCTCCCCTCCGCCACTTCCCTCAGCACGGGTGGCTGCTCCCCTCCCTGCTCTGCTCATTCCTAACGCAGGCAGGACGCCGCCGGCCCTTTTGGCCACGTGGGCACCAACCAACCCCCCCAGCTCCCTTTCCTCTCCACACTCACAGCCACTCGTCCCCCAGCCTTTGTGCTGCATGGCGTTGCTGTGCCCAAATGCAGGACCCGGCACCTGGCCCTGTTGAACCTCATCCCGTTCCCCTCGGCCCGGCGCCTCAGCCTGTCCCAATCCCGTCCCAATCCCTCTGCAGGGCCTCCCTGCCCTCAGCCAGATCCACGCCACCTCCCAGCTCGGTGCCATCTGCAAACTTGCTGAGTTCCGCATGTTGGCCACACGAGGGCAGCACACAGACGGTGGAAAAAACGCCCTCAGTGCCTTCATCAGGTCATCAATGAAGATATGAAACAGGATGGGCTCAGCACGGAGCCCCGGGGGACACCACTGGCAACGGGTCGGCACCTGGATTCCATGCACCACGACCCGCTGGGCACGGCCCTCAGCCGCCTCCTCACCCAGAGGAGCGTCCGTCTGTTCGGCGGAGCTGTGCGGGACAGCGAGGGGAGCCAAGGGGGGAGGGCCGTAAAGGGGAGCACGGGAAGCGCCGCCCGTGGGTGAGCAGGGAGTTCTTCAAGGTGAGGACGGTGCGGCTCTGGAACAGGCTGCCCAGGGAATTTTGTTCCGCTCTCCGTGCTGCCCCCGTGTGGCCGATATGCGGAACTGCAACGGAGTGTCTGCGCCCTGTGCTGCCCTCGTGTGGCCAGTATGAGGAACTGCAACGAAGTGTTGTCCGCGGTTTCTCCGTGCTGCCCTCTTGTGGCCAATATGAAAAACT